TTTAAGATTTCATGGTTTGGATTTTTTTAAATTTTGCTTTTCAGTTCAAACTGAGGTCACCATTTAATCATTTAACTCCAGCATGAGCTTTTAAGAAAACACAAAGTGTTGCTGTGATTGAGGTTTGTGCCATAAGAGTAGATAGAACAGGCTTTTCCACCAATATTTATTCTCACTTTTCCCTTTTCATCAGAGAAGGTGGGAAGAGATGAACAGCCTTGATTTCTAACACAGCATTTTCCTTGTTCTCTTTCCTGGTGCCAACAAAGATGAGTAAGGAAGCCCCCAGGGAAGTAGGAAGCCAAGTAGAGGTTACACAGCCATGGAGAAGAGAGAGGATGCTTGCACACAACTGTGACACAGACATTGCCTTTCAGATGGGAAGCCACATTTTTGGTGGCTTCATGCAGGGGCAAATCCAACACTTGGAGGAAGAATCCCAAATTCTTGCAACAGTGTAGGTCCCACTCTTTCTCTGACCTATCTTAGCTGATGTTCTGATACCACATCTTTAGTGCTGTCAAAATAATGGAGGAAACTGGAGTTGGAGCTTAAGTATGTGGTATTTCCTTCTTTCTTTCTTCAAGCACAGTTTGGTAGGAAAGAAAATGCTCTTGAATGTATTGAAAAGGTAATGGGAAACAGGAAAAAAGGATTGTGTCAGGATTACAAAGTTTTTTCAGCTATAGTACGTTTTTAAAGTGTCATTTATTCCTATGGGTAGCCTTGATAGCAAGGAAACTCCAGCAAAAGGGGGCAAATCCATGTGTTTTTGCATCCCATCCTCTCTATGGGATATTTTGAGTGTTTTTTTTTTTTTCCCATGAGGCACCTGTGGGTCTGTGTGGATTAGCAATGCTTCAGTAGATGCACAATATTATCTCTGGCAGATCAGAGAGATTATTGTATCAGAGCAGTAATATGTAATCTGCTGGTTAGATCATCATGCTGGTAATTCCCTGGGAGCTGTGCCAGGTTACAATAGCTCAGAATCTTGTCCATAATTTTTTTTTCCCCTGCTAAATTCTTCTTTAACAATGAAGAGGTGGTTTTACCTGGCAAAAAAGTAACTTTACAAAAAGAGTCAGTATTCTCTTTGAGGTCTTAAATCAGATGTAGGAGGTGTGATGTTGGGCATAATCTGCAATGTGTGAAGCAGGTGGTTAGCTTTAAGCAGATAAAAATCCCATGAGATCCATTCTATCCATGCTTCCTTGGAATGGATACTGGGTATTCAGAGCTGGATGAACCTCTGGGTTTTTAGGGAATATGCCTCATTTGCCTCTGTTTAATTTTTCCCAAACAACATTGAAGTGTGCACAAGGACTTAAGTGACATTCCAGAACAATCCTACATTAAGCTCAAGTTTCTGTTGTCACGTGAAGCCTGTTAAAAGATGTGCACAAGAGTTTAAAAATATACATTTATTTTTTGGTGAGTCTTCCTGGGTAATTGTTTTCACCTTACTATCATAACCTCTGGGCCTTTTTTTCTTATTTTTTTAAAGTCATATGACTCCAGAAATGGGATTTGTAGAAAAAAAGGCCTTGTTCTTATAAAAGTATCCAGAGTTTTCCACAGGAAAAATGGTAAATCTTCCATCCATGCAGGACTGTCTTGATAGGGACTGGATATCAGAGAGTACTTGGAGTTAGGTCAGACATTAATGAGACACCTGTTGGGTTAGGAAGAAATGCTGAAACCGAGCTCACATAAGAGCCCTGCTTGGGAAGGGGAAATCAGATCAAGCCTGTTCACTTGGTTCTCTCTAGGAAGGCTGTTCTGCATCTGTGTAGATACCACAGACCATGGAAAGTGTAATTTTTATTGTCTTGTCCCTGGAGGATGCTTGGGTGGTGTAGCACCAGAAACACAGCTCTGAGGAGGAGAAACAGGCTCAGTGAAAGGACTTTAAGGTGAAGCTGGAATGGAGTGCAGTGGCATTTATGGAGTTCCTCAGTTTTTCATCTGCTGAGAAATTTCAGCGAGGTTTCAAGTGGTCTAAACTTTCAGCACCTGTAAGCACCTGGTGTTCCTTTACTTCCTTTCTTTTCTGGTCTGTGGCACCTTGCTTTGGTTCTGGGAATGTTTGAACAACCACCACATACAGGGTGAGGTGGTGAACTGAGAATTCTGTGTGGGTCCCTCATTGCCATGGTAAGGAAATACAGCCTGTGGAGGGCAAAGCTGTGCCATGGGGACACTGGCATGTGCCTTGCACTGCTGTCCTGCTGGGGTGAGGGAGGCTGCTCAGTGGTGGGGAACTGCTCAGACTGAATGCTGGAGTCTGGATCTCCACTGGCAGCTAGCAAGAAAGGATCTAAGACTGATGCAGAGTCTTATTCCCGGAATTTTATGGATAGAGGAAGTAGTCTCTTTCAGAAAATATAATTTCCTAAAGGTGGGGTACTCAGATGAGAACCTTTCTCACTGCCTGTAATCAGTGAGATCTCGATGCCTGCCTGTCCCCTGTGGAAAAGTGTGACAGGGAATGTCTATCATGGGGCAAAATGAGGGCAGATATGCAACTGAGTGTCTTTGGTAACCCAGTGGTGTGATTATCTCTTGGTAACTACATCCCTGGCATACTCTTATGGGTTCAATAAATAATTGTTTATTTTGTTAAGAGAAAGGATAGATTCAGCAGTTTAATGCTGATCAGTACTTCCAGATAAGACATACAGTTCCCATGGATTATAAAACTGCTTTGATTTAGGAAGAATGCTGATAAAACTAACAGGTAAATTAATCTTGGTTAACCCACAATCCCAGAACGGAGGAGGGTGGTTAATTATAGCAAAAAGCCTGAAACATCTCCCAAAGTATTGATTCAAACAGCTAGAGAGACAGCAGCCTGCATACTAACAAACCTAAACAAATAAAATCCACTCTTGTTACATAGATCAGCACTGAACAGCAGTGCTGACACTCTTATAAACAGATTCCATGGCCAACTGGTGCAGCTGTTCTTACCTCACTGGAAATTAGGACCAGATGGGATTTCTAGAACTCCTGAACTTCACCATCAGCTAGGAAAGTTCAGAGAGAGGTTTCAGGACGTATAAACATTCAGTTGGCGTGCCTATGTTTGTTTTAGTGCATTTCTCTTTTCTAAAACAGTAGGAAGTTTGAGAACACAATGAAACTCAGAAGTGCACCTGTTTCATCTTTTTTTTTTAATACTGTTACACTGGTGTACATCCTCGTGGTCATACTGTGAGTCAGTCTCAAGATCTGCTAGAGTTTTTCTTCACGCTTTATGACTTCAGCACCCAAAGTCCAATATTTCAATTTATTTTTGTTTCCTGTTGAGAAAGGCTTGCCACAGCTGACAGCAGAAAAACCCCCAACACTGCCAGTATTCTTAGTGGCAGTATTTGTGTGCGTGTTCTCCCATGTTTTGATTGAGAGATATGCATGGAAAGGTGCGTGGGTGTTGGCAGTTCCTTGCTGACTCGATTTCTCTTATTTATCATACCCAGCTGGGGCTTTCCAGGAGCCAGGGCCCAGAGCATTCAGCATCATGACTTGATGCTTCAGTTTAACATATGGTTCCTATTTGTTTTTAAATATTTTCCTGCATCATCCAGAGCTACAGGCTCCCCTTTGTGGGAGGAACATCTCTAATTTCCACATGCTGCTTGCTCCTGTGCTGTTGAGAATTCCACCCTGCTTGACTGCAGAGGTTGTCTTAAGCTCCTTCTCCAGACTTTTTAGTGGTCACGTACACAGATTTTGTCATCTTTCCAGCTGTATTACAGATTTTTGGAATATGTGGTCATGACTGAAATACACTTTTGGTCCATCTCCTCACAGTATTTAAATTCCTTGGTGGGCCTAGTCTGCCATTTAGGGACATACTCTTTCAGAATGATCAGAAGCATGAAGACAGAGTAATTGCCTCAAATTACATTGGAAATTTGAAACAAGGGAAGGAATTGAATGTAAATCTTGTCACTCACTGGATAAAGAATAAACAAGTCTTTATTATCGGTGCTCAATCAATTCCTTATGAGCTGCTGTAATACTTTGTCACTTGCTGCTATTAAATACAATTAATTCATGTTGAGGAAATTGCAATAAATCTCCACTTGTCATGTGTTCTTCATTACAGGAATCAAACATTTTGAGCCCAATACAGGATGGGACCAAAAAACCCCAGATAGACAGCATTAAAAGCAATAACTACAATATTGTTAAAGAGGTTAGTATATCTGCCAAGAAACTTGCTTGACATACCTGTTTGATTAGTAGATTTGCTAATTATTTTGCAAGAAATTGTCTTTGTCTGGTTTTGTGTGAGATGACTGGTTTATTTTCTTACTTGCATGCTTATTGATTTTTTTGGTTTGTTTTTGTTTTTTAATTTATAGATTTTGATTCGACTCAGCAAACTTTGTGTTCAGAATAAAAAATGTCGGAATCAACAGCAACGTTTACTGAAAAATATGGGCGCCCACTTGGTTGTCTTGGACCTTCTGCAGATCCCCTATGAAAAGGTTATTTTTGTAATTTTAGGTAGAGAACATGAATTCAAGGAAGGGAAAGGCCTTGGCAGGCCCAAGAATCCGTGGAAATAATTTTAAAAAACGGAATTGTCAGCTGTAGTACAAACATGAAATGATGATGTCATTTTCCATCTTAAGAATAGTGAGTTTAGGCTCAGTTTAAATACAGCTGTCTGCAGAGTTTTATTTAAAATTTAATATTACTGCCTTGGGTATCTGGATGTCACATGCTGTCGTTCCTGTACCCATCCTGAAGCAGGCAAACCTTAGGACCAAAAACTTTCAAGGATCAAATGTGAAATAACTTCTTAGCTTTTATGGTGGAAGTCTCTAGCCTAGTTCGACTTTCCATTTTTTTTCCACAAGATAAATTTATTTGGTACTGATTTGGTGGAATTGAGCATACAAGTGAATGAACTAGATAGGCTTTTAAAGAGCACATTTTTCTAGATCTTCTAGAAGTCACTGAGAGGAGGTAAAATCTCTGCTGGGTTATGTTTTCCTGCATGTTATGTTACAGATGCTGGGTTCAGCTGTTGTCAGTAAAATAGTGCTTGTCCATACAGGCAGTTCATCAAATCATACTTAGGACGCTGCATGAGAGGAATATAAAATGGGGATGAAACTAGAGCTATATTGGTGTGGGAGTATGTGTATGAACACATGCACACATACATCTGTTTCTGTATGTAGCTATAGAAAAGCCAAAGCTTAAAACTAATGCAGAGAGACATTTTTGGTTTGTTTTGCCTTTTTTTTTTTTTTTTTTTTTTTTTTAAATCAAGCACCTTAGCACTTTTTTAAACTAGGAAATTATAGCCACACATGAAGAGATCTTACTTTGATTGTATGTTCCTACATATGATTCCCTATGGTCGAGTTGATTCAGAGTAAGGTACATCTGCTAATGGACTCCAAAGGAAACTACATCAGTTACTTTTGCCAGAGGGAGAATTCCTGCCCCGTAAAGGCTCAGAAGAATTGGTTTATTCCTGTCTAAATTGATGTTGTGTAGTTTTAACAAGTATGTTTAGGTACAACCAGCTGATTTTGTTTGTCCTTTCTTCCTGCAGAGTGATGAAAAGATGAATGAAGTTATGAATCTAGCCCACACTTTTCTTCAGAATTTCTGTCGAGGAAATCCTCAGAATCAAGTTCTCCTCCACAAAAATCTCAACTTGTTCTTAACTCCAGGGGTAAGTATTTAATTTGAAATAGAATATGATAATTGGAATTAAATTTGGGTTTGCTGAGACATCCCAGTGCTAAATAAATAATTTCACTAAATTATGCCTCCCCTCTCCTCTCCTCTCTCATTTCCCTTCATGTTGCTTTTCATGTGGTTGGCTTTAATGTTGCCATTTTAAAAGTGGAAAACAAAAACCAAGAAACCTGTGGAAGGATCTGGAAGGATCTATGAATGTGTTACATTATTATGTTGAACTGGACTCTGCTTTTACTCACCCTGACTCACTCACTGATGGACTGTAAAGTCATAAACCTTGTGTGACAACAGAATCAGGCCTATACATTTATGTTGATGATGCTCCCATTTGATTCAAGTAATCTAAACTCTGACCTTCTATTAAATAATTGTCTTTACAATAGACCTTTTTATCACAATCCCTTTGTATATATTTGTGTGTATGTGTGTTTACAGACATATTCATTTAGAATGACACTTGCTCAGTGGATCTACTGAGCAAAACATGCTTTTATTAGAAGGAGTTGTGAGTATGAGGATTGCAGACCCTGGGCTGTGCACTTTAGGAACCATTTGTTTGATGTTTTTTATTTATGCTCTTTTGTGACGTTAGTGAACAGCTCTGAGCTGCCCATAGTGAGAACCAGAGCCTGGACTCCATCATGGTCAACACTGACACTCAACTCAGGTGCCAAGTGTGGAGGCAGCTTGCACTTGAATTTCTGTTGTTTTGAACCTGATTTCCTGATCAACCCTCCATCCCCCCATCCATCCCAGTTATTGTGCTTTGGTGCACATTGTGGAGCAAACTTGATGTGGATTCCTATCAGATGACACTAAACAGACATGTATACTTTAGGAGCACACCTGACCCTCAGGAGCCTTTAGTCCAAGGGATCAACCTAGAGCAAAAGCCCCAAGACAGCACAAAGTCTGGGTGCTGTGTCCTCAGCAGAATCCCTTCTTGCTCCAGATCTGTTCCTCTTGTTCCATGCTGCTCACGGATACACAGCCCTAGGCTCCCTCTGGAGTTAATATGGAAAGATTAATTCTCTTTGAGACTGATCAGACTGCATGTGCAGGGATTTGTGTGCTGAAAATGCCTCCTCTGTGAGCCCCAGAGAGAGTCAGAGCAGCCCATCATCTCATTTGGTGGCCTCATTGCAAGGTTTGATGGTGAGTGGGGCCATTGTAGTCTCAGGTGTCTCGTATTCCAAAGCCCTTGCAGAGTGCTCTAGCAGTGTAGTGTGTGTGTTCACCTTCCACATGCACACAGGTTTGGTTTATGCCCACTTTAGGACTGTTTGTACTCATAGGGAAGCGTGGAGAAATCCCCTCAAAACTGGAACCTGGATTCTGAGATCACTGAAAAGGATTTCTCCAGTTTCCTTTTACCAGTGAGCCTTCCCCTACTCAAAAATCCCGTGCCTCTCTCAATCTCAAAGCAGATCTGCTGTGCTCATGAGGCTGTTTTTGATCTGTTCAGCTCCTGGAAGCTGAGACCATGAGGCACATCTTCATGAATAATTACCTCCTGTGCAACGAGATCAGCGAGAGGGTGGTGCAGCACTTTGTGCACTGCATCGAGACCCACGGCCGGCACGTGGAGTACCTGCGCTTCCTGCAGACCATCGTGAAAGCAGATGGCAAATACGTGAAAAAGTGCCAGGACATGGTCATGACAGAGGTAAGCAAAGGCTTCACATGTTAATCACTGGAGTATTTTGAGGCTGTTTTTTCCTGCTCTTGTTACCAATGAGATATAATGGCATCCTCGCTTCAGAATTTTAAGCGGCGTCACAAATAATGAATATTTTAGCAGACGTTTTGGGGAGTTTGATCTAATTTTGTAAGGCCATCTGTATAACTACTAGAAAGAAAACATGAGTGTTAGCATGGTGATACAGAGATGTCTATTTGTAGATGATGTAGCATGGAAATCTCAGAGTTACATAAACCTTCATTTTCCTGTAATGTAATTTAGGATTACTTTTATCCAATCTTGTGGCATGGGTTTGCCATACAAGAGGCTCTTAACTCTATGGATTTGTCTAAATAGTGTTGTAGAACTTGTTTTTTAGCACGTAGCAATTCTAAATCCTAGTTTCTGCCTTTTTTTGTTTTGTTTTATTTCAGAGCATTTCTGTGAGGGTCAGTAGAGCTGCTCTAGCTTTAAGTAGCTGGATCCAGCAAAGTCCACCAAGTGGTTTGTGGAAAAATCTTTATGCCAATAAATTTCTTCAGAAAATACCTAATTGACTTTCTCTGCAATTAGAATTTGATATATTGTGAGCATGATAAATGAAGTCTTCCACTTGCAGACGCTTGTACATTTAACTGTAATTATGTTAACAGTTTCTTGAGATTAGTAAGTGGGTAAAGTTGAATATGGTGAAAAGCCATGGTAGGATTAGAGTCCAAGGAACATTTTTATTTGCTTTACAAAGTGCTTTTCCTTTTGGCTTGGTTTGGTTTCTTTAAGAGATGTCTTCACAAAGAAATCAGAGATAAGCTTTAGTTTTTTTTTTGCGGTATGAACAAAACGAAATCCCACTGAAATTTTATTCCACAGCACCAAGAGGAAAAACTTCTAATTAAGAAAATAAATCTCCTGCCTACATGTATAACCTTTAATGAAATTCACCTCAACCTTTTCAATTTGACTGAAGTATTTTAACATGCAATATCAATTACAAGCCTTTGATTTACATAATTCAAACACTTCTTGTGCCTTTGTGGTTTTAGATTTTTCTGCTTCCACTAAAGGCTCTTATAGAGTTTTTTTTATCATCAAACAAAATTTTCAGATTTTTCTCAATTTCAATAAATTTTTGCTATTGACCTATAGCAGCACAAAGATAAATTGTCATATTACCATTTTCAAGCTGACTCCATGATGAAAGTAGAAATTAACTTGGATATGGCATTCACATCATAAGTCCTGCAGGAATTTCCTGGGGGGAGGGAGCAACCCTGTTTTGATGAAATAGGGTAAGATAATGATCTGTTTTTCAAAAAGTAGGAAAATGCAGGTAAGTAATTATGATTTCTTAGAAAAGGATGCTAATTTTGTCTCTTGAATGATAATCCACTCTAAAGGGGACAAATAGTTGAAACTTGCCACAGAGTTGGGACAGTTTCTCTGTAGACAACTCAGATGTACTTTGTGACCTTAAACAAGTGCTGTAGCTTTTCCTGTACCTCCAGATGGGGCACATAAACAATTTACCACAAGACAAGCTAGAATATCATTGTACAGTTTGCCTCAGCTCCTCCTACATTTTGTTTCACCCAGAGGAAGTATATTGTAGTTTATTCATGTTTACTGGGAGTGAGGATAATCCTCATATTTACATTTTCTAGAAAGTGCATCCAGATGAAGGAGCACCATGGCAAGAGAATACTGCCATAAAATCCATTGGACATCCCCAGTCTGGCTGATTCCCTTGTTCTCATCTCCTTGTTCTCTATGTCTGCAATGATGTTTACCAATCTGAAAGGTTCCTTAGGGCACTTTTTCTCATTACAAGCAGGCTTTGAGGTTCCTGGAAGAGCCCTGCCTGTCAGAGCAAACACTACTACAGAAGGGACAGCAGAATTTACTTTGGGCCAGATCAATGTGGCAGCAGAGTTTTCTATTACCTGCAGTATTCTGGAGTAATATTTTGCAGAATATCAACAGCTGCTACTATACTGGACAGCCTTTATTATATTACCATAGAATTCTAAACTTGCTGAAAATACACTTTTAATGGCAGAAAATGCTGCTGGGTTGTTTTGTTGTTTTGTCCTAAGCTCTCATCCCTTTAATTTTTTTTTTTTGTACTGTGGATTGTCCAGAAAATGTCTGAAAAGTCGTGGGTATAGAAATACTGTAGAAACCCAAAGATAAATGAGAAATAAGGACTGCAGGAAAGACTGAATTCACAATTCACTCCAGCCAAATGTCAAAGTAAAAATAAGCAAGGAGCAGGGAAAGCACAAACATAAAAGCTGTGAATTCAAAATTTGAAGTGTTGAAACCCTGGAAAGTGTAATGAAATGCTTCTTGACTTTTCATTCTGGGAGACTAATTTTAATTCCTGTTCTTGCTGCTTTCCCATTTCTCAGCAGCTCCAGCAACCTTTATGACTACCCTTGAACTGAGTAAGCTGGGATTTCATGTCACATATGGACTGGAATAGGTCAAGTGCCCAATTCACAAAATAAGTGTGATTTTTGAGCTGCCAGGGTGTGTTCTGTACTAGGAGGGGTTTGTGGGAGCTTCTTTCACCCACATTGAGAGTGGCTTGTGCTTCAAAGGACAGTGATGGAGAGAGGATTCCAAGCAGGGTTAGAGCAAAGCTCTTCAGTGAGATGTGCTGAGATGGGGCTGCCAGCATCCAGCTCTACTCTGGATCCTCTTGAGATGAGCAGAGCACTTGTAGCACAATCAAACATTTATCACATACACCAGCTTTCTGTTAAATGGAAGTGCTGACATAACACTGACAAAATCATGACCCACCTGCCAAATTTGCACAGGGTGGGAAGAATCTCCCTTTGTTTCCAATACTGAGCAAGGGCAGGGAAATGCTGGGTTCAGTTCCAGGTGAGCCACAGGCTTTTTGTGTGAGGCAGCATGGAAGATTGCATCTCACTGCACCTCAAGTGTCTCTCCATGAAACAGGGATAATAATGCATCCTGGCCTCCCAGCAGGAGGTGAGGATAATTAATTAACTTCACACAAACACTGAGATGGTAGGAATAATAAGGATGGCATGCTGTCTTAGGTAAAGACAACTACACAGAAATTAATTCAAATTCACCTTGCATTAGTGCATTCCTTGGTGAGTTATTCCAGATTTGCACTTATATTGATAAGAGCAGAAGTTTGCCTTGGATATTGTCTTGATGTGGTCATTTGGCAAACGGCATCAGAGTAAATTTTGTTTCCTTGTTTGGGTTTTAGCTAGAGAGTCTTTGCATACTTAGAGATAAAAGAAGAAAACTGTAGAATCATTTAGGTTAGAAAAGACCTTTAAAATCATGGAGTCCAAAGTCTCAGAACCTTGTGATCTCTTTCTCAGCTGATAAATGGTGGTGAAGACGTGTTGATATTCTACAATGACAGAGCATCCTTCCCAGTGCTGCTCCAGATGATGTGCTCGGAGCGCGACCGAGCCGACGAGAGCGGGCCCTTGGCGTACCACATCACTCTGGTGGAACTGCTGGCTGCCTGCACAGAGGGCAAGAACGTGTACACAGAGATCAAGTGCAATTCACTGCTGCCCCTGGATGATATTGTGAGGGTAGTGACCCATGATGACTGCATTCCTGAGGTACCATTCACGGCAGGAGGAAGCAGACTTAGTATTTTTAGAAGCTTGGACAATATTTTGTTGTTTGTAATGTGCTGACAAGTTGAATATTTGCACAGGAAACAGGTGGTGCTTCTTAAGGTGAATAAGTGAGAAAGGATTCTTAATGCTTTGTTTGTCAGCTTTTCAGGCACCTTGTTTTGTTTTGGCTTTTTCCAGCCACTGTCAGAGTTTAATGCTCTTGTAGCTTCTGGCTGAAGCTGTGAAGACCCAGCTGAGTGTTGGGTTAAGCCAATGTTTTGTCACTGCCTGAATTTCTTGGAAATGATGGATAAAATTCTGTCCATGCTGAAGTCAGTAGGAATTTGGGTGAAGTCTCATTTTATTAAACTCAATTGCAGTCCTGCAAATATTTTTATTCATTGCACATGAAGGCACAATTCTGCATGTGTCATGCTAAAATAGGACTGGTGGAAAAATGAGGCTCAAAACAACAGAACTAAGGCATGCAGGAGTTAAAACTCCCTCTGTGCCATGAAAATTGCCCTTGTAATCAAATGATCCTATTACTAAAAAGAAATATGTTTGCTTTGCCCAAAAGTTCCCCTTAACATTAATTTCAACAGATGGTAATTAGAAAAAAAATCCCAAACAAAAGAAACCTAAAGGTCTGATCTGCGTCTTCTCTTCATATGCAGTTACCTCATCTCCCTTGATCATGACAAGAAATTTTCAGTGCCTTTCCATATGTTTATATTTAATCTATACATTTTGGACACTGGATATCCATTTTTATGCTGTGCACATGCAGACTGGCCATGCCAGAGAGGAGTGCAACTTCAGTCCTCCTGCTAAAGCCTTGTGCTGCCATTGCTGCAGTCCCAGTGCACCACAACCTTTCTCTGCCATTTAGCTCCCAAATGCAAGTGCTGCATTAGGATGGTGGAAATACACGGGCTTCAGTCCCAGCTCTGCAAAAGAATTTTTATTTTGTATTTGGCAAGCCTGTCACAAGGCTTCAACCTACCACAGTCAACTGGCAAGTGCAGGGGTGTCCTGCATTTTGATAGCCTCTGGTTCTGGAGCCAGGCCTTGCTGGTCTTAATATCAGTTAAATAGCAGAATCATTACTGGTTTGTTTTGTGGGGGTTTTGTCATTAGAGTAAGGATGTTTGCAAAGCTTTTTCATTTTTCTTCCTGTGGTCTTTTAGTAAATGCATTAAGGAATGTGTTACCCTGCTTCTCCCTAAATCTTCAGAACCAAACATATGCATTATTATGGTTATGAATGTTTGTTAGTACTGGAAGGTTCATCTTTATTGTTCAGTATTTTTGCAGATAGAAAACATTACGTTCATTGTTTTTACTGTTCCATTTCATAGTGATTGTGTTTTTGCTGTTCCTGCAGGTGAAAATTGCCTATGTTAATTTTGTTAACCACTGTTATGTGGACACTGAAGTGGAAATGAAAGAAATCTATGCCAGTAACCATATCTGGAAACTTTTTGAGAACTTCCTTGTTGATATGGCAAGGGTAAGCTTCACCAAGTGTTAATATTACAGAATGGGCATGGTGACAACTGAACTGGCAGGATTTTTTTTTTTTTTCGTGATTTTCTTGTATTTTGTTAACTATTTTTATTCAAAGTTGACAATAGGATATGTGTGGTTGGTTGGTTTGTTTCTTTAACAGTAATTTCTCTGATCTTTATAATCATTTAACCTGCTAATTACTAGCAGCCTTCTCTTTCTAAAAGGGCATCTTGGAACCTGTGCCTTTCTCTTTTCTTTCAGAGAAATAAATTGGGTGTATGTACATGGTTGAGAGCCTCTGTACATCTTTTGGGAATGTGTGCTGCATGTCATTTATGACGGTGACTAAAAAACCCTCACATCTGTAATCTCATCCATTATTCTGTTGTTATAGTCAGGATCAGAAACCAAGATCATCTCTGGCTCATGCTCCTTCTTTAGTCTCTGTTTCTGTCTTTTATTCTCCTGTCACTGCATTCTCATTGCCAGTGTGAAAGGCAGGTGTAGAGCTGTGGTCCCTCAGAATACTAATTCAAATAGAAATTACAGCTGCAAGGTGACAGGGCACAGTCAGTACCACAGCCTGCCATTCCTGTGGTCCTCAGCGAGCCTCATGGTGTCAGGACTTGTTGAATTAAATTTTAAGTTACAAGTTGAATTAAGCTTCCTTTCCCAGGGATTCTGAAGGCAGGAAACAAGAGCAATCTTATGACTTCCACAGAGATTAAATACAATAGTAGAGCCATGAGGGGAAGCTAATGTGATGTAATAATTATAGCCTGCACTACACATCCTTTTCTAGGAGGTTAATGCTTCTTGTAATTGTAAATAATTACAATATTAATGACAAACAATGGTGTTGCTCTTTCTGCTCAAGAAGTAGAATCATGGGGATTTGGGTTTTTCCCAATCCATGGTTCATTACATTTTATAATACGTAAGTTCTCACTCCTTTCATTCTTCATTTCATTGAAATGAAGGAAAAAAGGTAAAGAATCTCAGTTTGATCCTGCAGCAGACATTGACCCCCCAAGTAACAATGTGCCACAAAATAATTCCTGTGAGACCTATTAGGAGAAAATATCATGAATTTTGGCTAAAAGAAGAAGGAATGCCAAGGCACGTGATGTACAATAGGCACTGGGACCTGTTCATTTATCTGTGAAACAGAAACCTAATACATGGTTGGTTTTTTCCTTTTGTGGTTTTGTTTGTTTTTGTTTTTTGTTTTTTGTTTTTTTGGTTTTTTTTTAACCTTTTTATTTTTCTCTGGGAGCAGATTAAGGTAGGGATGTTTGTGCTCTCTTTTTTTGGTGGTAGCCATTTTCAGCAGTAATTAGTCCTCTCTGTTTTCTTGCTGTTTTGGCTCTGTGGTTGTTACACAGGGAAAGCCCTCCTGGACAAAACAACCTGGGTTAAAAATTAAGATGAGAAACATCCTTGGAGGAGCGTTCTGACATTTAACCTGACTGGTTTTACCTCAAGAAGTATTTTCTTCTATTTAATTCCCTTTCTGGGTTGCCCTTTCCTGACGTGTCCTGACCCTGACTTTCCAAACAGACTATCCCTCCTCTGTAGCCCTTGAACACGGCCAATTTTCTGTGCCCCTGGGCTAGAAGCACACAAATAGAAAGAGAGTTCTGTCCAGGTTTCCTCTCATGAGCCTGGAGACAAACTGCACTGTGCAAAATGCAGGGGCCTTGTCCTGATGCTGATGACCACCAAGATTTCCACACACCCCTCTCCTAAGAGAAAATAGACCCCAGGTCTTCGGAGGTGAAGAGGGAAAATGCTGCAATTTGTGTGCAGGTGCTGTTAGCAAAATGCAGGTTTGTTCTGCTCTCCTGCAAGCGTGTCAGAAGTGCTCTGGCCTGCTGTCCTGCTCTCCAGCCATGGGTAGCTGTATTTTCCAGGTTATGAAGTGTATTTGTTCAGATTTGGTGCTCTGGGGCCCCAACAGAGCCCATGTGTTATAAATACATCAGCGTTCTGTAGCTATCAGGACAGTTAGAATGCTGTCAGCCTCATGAAAGATGCTACAATAGCTTTCAAAGCATTTAGAAAAAGAGCCCTTTGATCCTCTGTGTTCCAGCGAGCTGAAAGGGATGCTTTTGCGTGGGGGAAGGGGAAACTTTCTTTTCTTTTAGCTGCTACAAATGCCTGTCAGTGGGTGAGTTTGTGAGCTTTGAGTCTGTTATTAGAGAGCACCAAGGTGAAAGATGGAGAGTGTGATCCTCAGGTTGGATTCTTTCCGTTTTAGATATATATTAAAAAAAAAAAGTAACTGATTTTTAAAATCTGTTTCTGGATTGAGGAAGGAAATATTTAGTCCCCAGCTGTCATTTTCCTTTCAACAACGTGATACATTGCAAAGCAGGCATGAGGCAGATCCGTGTATAAACTGGGTTTGCCAAAAGCTGTCGCGTTTTCAAAGACACCCTGTTTCTACAGCTTCTGCCAACCTACTTTCTGCTGGGTGTGACTTACAGCCTTGTGCTCAGCAAAGTGGGTGCTGCTGAAGGAAAGGCTTCCCTTTCCTGTGTGTGGCCCAGCCTGTGTAAGTCAGCAGCTGTAGTCTGAGCAGGATTAAAGACAAGAGCCGGGAATCTGACAGCTGTAAAGTCATCCTGGCTTTCTCTGCAGAATTTTTGAAGCGTTATTTGTGTGAGTTTTGGTCCCAAAGCCTCTTAAAGGGTTTTTAAACACTGCTTTCTCAATCCTTATCTCCATTTCATGCATTTCAGGCTTTTTTTTTCTTCCACGGAGGAAGATCTTGCAGTTCCCAAAGGGCAGAGGGATAAGAACAAATGAGAGGATTTCCAAATTCCTTCTGTGCTGGGAATTTTTCAGACCGGTGTTGGAGCAGAGTGGCATTCCCACATATGGCTCTGCTTCTTAGGCAGCTGAAGGGGAAAGCTTAAAAGTGTTCTGGAATTTAGTTTTGGTGATTTCTGCATTCACTGTGCTAGCACTGCACAGCTCCATGCCTTCCTATTGGGATTGCAAGTGCTGAGCTTTGAGCTAACGGTTCCAGCCAAAATTGGCATGCAGATTAATTAAAAGCAAAAGAAATCCCACAGATTTTTAGTTCTAGGATCTCTTTTTTTTAAAAAAAAAACTTTTTAAACAAGTTTTGATTATTAAATCTGAATCATTTGCTTTCATGAGGACTGAGGGTGGTGGTGGTGTCACACTTTTCCCAAAACAGAAGGGCTGGTGAGTTTGCTGTTTCATTTTAGCCTCTGTTGCTTCTCTGACCAAAATCTTTCCTGGGGTGATAAAAAATGCACTCTGTGGAGGCATGACTGATTTATCTGACACATTTTAGATAAGCAGACAAGCAAACTCCTCCAGATGCCTCATTTGTCTAGGTGTGAAGTTATCTTTGGTTATTTCTCTGCCTACTGCATGACAATGCTTGTGTGCTAGACCCAAGGTGCTTGTGTTCCCCTGAGCTCTATCATAGCCTGAACACAGGTGCTTTTGGATGTCATGTCAGTAAACTTTCTTAAAACATTCCTGGTGAAATTGCTGTCTTGTAGTGACAGTGGCAGTGTGTAATTAGAGAGAATCTTTGCCCTGTGTGAGATTCAGGTGCTGTGGATTATCTCTCTGCTTCTGTCACCAACTTTTCCCTGTGACTTTAAGCAATTCAATCAGCTTCTCTGGACTCCCCATCCCTGAAGAGATGTAATGGTAAGTGTGTGCCACTCAGGCTTGGGGTTATGTGTTAAATGAACAGATGGCAATGAAAAAGCTACCCCTGGAACTTTTGTATACAAAATAAATTCTGCTTTTGCATAGGTTCCCTAGAACATTGCAGTCGTCTCTGGCTTGCGTAGGTGAAAGAGAAAACAATTCTGCCTTCATTTCTTGTTAAACATGACTACAGCTGCTTATTTAAAGGCTGTTGGAGAGGTAGTATGACTACAGTCTGTACTACTTATTTGTCCAGTCTTGCCTTTCTCATTGTTTTCGGCTCTCTGTAGACTCCTTTCAGTACTGTGTAGACTGACACATGCAAAGTCAACATGACTCTGTATAGATGTTCACAAGTGTTGAAGAGAAATAAAGGGAATACTGAAGATGTAATCCACACCAGTAATTTTCCCCTTTCTTTAAGTGTGACATCTTTACGCAGCAACAAACTTTAAGTATCGTACCAAAGGGAGTCTTCAGGAACCTTTTGTTCAAATCTTCCCACTTCCTCCCACCATTTAATCATCCTTCTGTGCTCCAGAGTTGTTCTGGTATCATCCATTCCCGTCTTTCATTGTTTTAGCTTGGCTTCTGTACTTTCCCCATGTGGCTTCCCAAAGAAATTCTGCCTCTCTTCCAGTACCATCCTAAAGCCTGTTGGTATTGAGTGTGCTGTTTCCCTTCTTTCCCTCCTTTTAAACATTTTTCCTGCAAATGAGCTTCACCTTTGGCACCCAGTCGTGGTGATTAATTGTTGAGAGAAGCTAAATGTTGTATGAAATCTTTCTAACCTGAGTTGTTTATGTCTCATCTGTCTCTGAAGCATCTTCCAACCAGCACTGCAAGGGGAGGAAAGGTCCATTTTCTTCTTGAATCTGTCTGAATGTGTAAGTGGCATGCAGTGTGCTGATTTAGGGGGATCTTTTCTTCATGGTGTGGGAAAGAAGAGGCAGGCAGCCAGAAGGAACTAGTTCAGAAGAGAAGGGTGGACCTCCAAGAAGAAGATAAGCTATTACAAATCCAGCTTCAACTCTAACATAGTTCTCTCTGATAGATACTATATAAAAATTTTTGGTTTTACTTTAAGAAGAAATATCAGATGTGTTGTAGTAAATACAAAATAATGAAACTTACTTATTGGGGAGAACTAGATCTCATTGTTTCCACCTCCTTCTCTGTAGGTTTGTAACACAACCACGGATCGTAAGCACGCAGACACATCTCTGGAGAAATATGTCACTGAGCCTGTCATGAGCATTGTGAGTGGCTTCTTCAATTCACCATTTTCAGATAACAGCACCAGCCTCCAGGTAAGGAGAAGAGACACAGACAAATAAGTTATTCAGACTGTTAATGAGATATCTTCTGCTACCTGCATAGGAATACTGTCTCTTTTCATTCTCTAATTTCTGTCCCCTCTCATGCCCCTGACTACCAGCTTAATTCCTCTTTAAAACACTCAATTCTTCATTTTAATCACTTTCATCTTGAACCAGTAGAGAGCTCAATGTGGTCAGAGTTACTTCTGGCTCTTGTGAATTCATTGGAAGGGGTATCCTTGGAGAAAAATCTTTGTGTGAGGGAGATGCTGTGCCCTGTGACAGAAGGGACACATGCCTGAGAACGGGAGAAACTCCTCTGTCCCTCTGGTATGTACTGTGTTTGCTTGATATCAGTGGCAATCTGAGGAAAAATTGAATGATTTGGCCTTTTTTGAGGTGCAGCATTGATTTCTGCTCCTGCCAGACCTAAAGATCAAAGAGAATTTAATGGAGCTATAACTTGAGTCTACAAGCTAACATCCCCTTGGTTTACATTGTGTCAAACCCTAGGGCAGCTGTGAGGAGATCCTTAAGGGTAAAATTTTGTGTTTCTTTTTGTTTTCAGACACACCAACCTGTTTTTATTCAGCTGCTGCAGTCTGCTTTTAGAATTTACAACTGTACCTGGCCAAACCCAACACAGAAAGCCTCAGTGGAATCCTGTATCAAGACTCTGGCTGAAGTGGGTAGGTGTCAGGTTTTACTTTGGCTGTTGCTCTTTGCGTTTAAAGATCACACTTGAAATTTAACAGTTTTTAATTTGACTCCACCATCCTGAAATTGTGTCAGTAGTGATTTCAGAAATCCCAATTTCTGAGGCTAAATTCTTCCCTCTTTTATAATTCATTCAAACCTGCCCCATCAAATAGGGTGAAACTGGGAGGGCAGAGCAATGAGATTGCTAAGTGAGTGATGACTGAGCTTTCAGCTATCAGTTTTAATTTGATGGTTGAAACTCTTGATGATTTTAACTTTTTAATATCAAGCAAGTTATGATATTAAACCACAACATAAGCAAAGGTGTCCCTGTTCAAATACATTTTTTAAAACTTCTTATCCTACATTAAAGAAATATTCTTCGCCAGAACATAGCTAAAACTGGCAGAAGTTCATTAAGTTAAATTTCTTTAAATATGTTTTTAAAGTCTTCTGCCATACAGAATAAATGATTATTCAATGTACTTTCCAAAAGTCAGTGGTGCTGGTTGCTTGTAGAATAAGATTCTGCTCAGTGTGAATGAAAGCTAGTAGAGGCTACTCATAGAATGAGTAGAGGCAGAGATACATGGAAACTGGCTAAATTCTGTTGTTGATACATTTATTTAAAAGCATTAATAAATAATGATAAAACAATATGAGAGGGTCCTGGAGCCATCTGCAGCACTGTAACAATCATGTCTAAATTTAGATTTTTGGAATAGCTTTACAGGTACTATTTAACATTTTAGCCAAAACATCTCATTAGCTTTCTGTGTGAATGTGAATAAGCAGTTACCTAAAAATTTAGCAACCTTCAATTGTTTTATTTGTTGCGCAAATGATTTAATTATGGATCCATCTGGCAAAGGAACTTTGGAAGTCGAAGACATTTCATTTCCTTTATGCTACAGCTACTACAGTCTCACATAAAGCTCCATCTCTACAAATTCTTGTTTGTGTGTTTAACACTTATGTCCTTGCTCTTCTCTGGCATTTCTGGAAACAGTCATCAATAAATTACTTCCTTTGGGAGTCTGGGGAAAGGAGGAGAAGTAGGGCAGGTGAGAATAGGTTTGAGACCAACCATGCCCTCCGTGTGCTTGTAGACAGCTCAACATTTTCATTTCTGTAGAGCTGCATCTAAAATCAAATTCTAGCTCAGAGAGGTCGTTGTGTTATCTCATCAAGATGAGGCTGTTTGGAGACATCTGAGTGTGGGTTTATTTTCCATTTGGCTACGTGCCCATAGCACACAGCTGATTCTAGCATGAAAAATTCCCAGCAAATTCCATCGATCCAGGGCTCTGCTGATTGCTGGATGAGTCAGGCCAGGCTGTCACTGAGCTTTCTCTTCTCCCAAGGAGCATGTGCTAGGACAAGAAGAAAAGGCCTCAGGTTGTACCAGGGGAGGTTTAGGTTGGGTTTTAGGAAAAAATTTCTTCATGGAAAGGGTTGTCAAGCACTGGAACAGGCTGCCCTGGAAAATGGTTGAGTCATCATCCCTGGAGGTGTTTAAAAGATGTGTAGATGTGGCACTTAGAGACTTGGTGTAGTGGTAGATGTGGCACTGTTAGGTTACTGCTTGGACTCTATCTTGAAGGTCTTTTCCAACCTAAATTATTCTGTGATTCTGCCCTGTTGAGACAGCCAAGCTGAACTCGTCCCCACAGCAGCTTGAGGAAACCATGGGTCTCTCTAAGGGGATGGCAGGTCCAGCTTCATGCCAGGTGTGCCAGCACATGAAAGGGCTGCTGGGCTTTGGTGGGCAGTCTTCTGTGTGCCTCTTGTTTCTGGGGGCTCCAGGAGCAGTTGATGTCTGGAGTTTGCTTCAGATATGTGACTTTGTTCCTTATTTGTGGAATTCAATTTCTACCTCCACTACAGTTCTTTCTTTCATTCAGTTTTCTTTTTTCTGGAAATGATTTAGAGTTTTTTTTGTTGTTGGTTTTTTTTTTTTTTTTTTAAAGTAAGCTCTTGTGCTGCCCTATGGGTCCAGACTCCTTTTTGCTTCTCTGGCTTCCCACCCATGGGCCCCCAGCCATGCCTTGGGCACTCTCAGAGCAGAGCTGAGCTGCCAGTGAAGGGCATCACTCCGTGTCCTCCTCTGGGACTTCCCTGCAGCAGCAGCAGGAGCTGCCAGGCTGGGAACCCCTGGGGTACCATGGGCTGACAGCCTCAGAGCAGCTCCCTGAAAGCACACAGCATCCCCACTGCTGATTTCCTTGCCCATATCATAACAATTGTTCAGGGATTCATCACTATTAGCAATATCATGCATGGTTAAATTGTGTTGCGCCAGACAATTGTTGCGTTTTAATTGAGTGTTTTATTTTGACAGTGCAGAAGGGAAGAGTAAAGGAAGAGGTGAGGGGGATTTCCCCAAAGACCAAGTTAGCTGGAGATTAGGTGGAAGGAGAGCTTTTGACAAATACTTCTGTGTAAAATTTGCCTGGCCAGCAGAGATTTTAACTGCAGGTGATACTTGGCACTTTTAGGCACAATGGCAAACATGTCTTGACCAGGTTAATGGAGTAGGCCTGCTCTTTTCTGTGGAAATATTTGGAAAAACTGTCCCAGCTGGGGATGCCAGAGGCTTTTACAGCCAAGGCCCTTCTGTGATTGCAGTGGGTGCCTGGTGCCTTTCTCTGTCGGTTGCTACTCTACCCTAAATGATGGTTCACTTTGAGAAGCCAGAGGCATCTTCCATAGTACAAAATAGCAACCTCCTTGTGCCTCTTTTGGTGGCTAAATATGTGGACCCTTTTTCCCCCTCTTATGACTAGAGAATTTGACAGCTTTAATGTTAAGGTCTTCATGTTTCACAGCAAGGCTTTATAAAACCTCTAAAAAGATTTTGCCTATATCAGAGGCAATGAGTATTGGCAGGGACCAAAGATTTCTGACGGAAAATAAGTGTAATATAGACCTGAAAGAACAAATGTGATGTTTGTTTCTTTGTTTGTTTTTTGTTGGTGTGTCATTGCCCTGTATTTACAAATGAATCTTGGGGGAAGAAAGATCATACACAGATTTCCCAAGGTATCAAAGATCCATATAATGATACACTTTTAAAAGACTCACTTCAGAGCAAGTTTAAGCAATGTACACACTGCTCAGTGTTTCCTGGTGTGTTGCTGGCAGGTGGATGCAAGCACTGCCTCAAGAGCTTAAGATCATTCCATCTGCTTTGGATGAGCACTGTAAGAATGTGCTTTACTTTCCAGATCAACAAAAGGATATCTTGCAGAAACTTATTTCTTATAACCCTGGTACTTCAACTCCACTTTACCAGCAGAGAAAAACTGCATAAGCTTTTCAAGCCTCACTTGCTGCTTTGTCTCCAGGCACTTTCCTGCCTCCAGTTTAGCAGGAAATATAGAGGCTTCTATGCTCCCCTTCTTCAGCAGACCCCTCTGTGGCTCCAGGAGGTTTGGAACACAGTACCAATGTGCACCAGGTTTCTATTGCCCAGGAAACATTTGGATGCTTGGCATGAATAGAAACACTTATGAAATCACATATAAATATATCTATATATATATATATATAGATATATATACACACACACACACACACACATATATACACGTGTGTGTGACTTGTTCACATTGATTTCTGAAGCAGTTTATCACACTGGTGAGAATGAACACATACATTTATCACTTTGGCCTTTTCTCTTTTATTACACAGGACTGAGCTTTTGCTTGAAAATGCAGTCCAAAAAGTGAATAATCCAAACAGCTCCCATCTCCCTGGTAAAATAGCAACAACTGAAAAATATTTAAAACGTCCCCAGATCTTTGTGAAAACAGAGGAAATAAGATATCCAACTGTTTAATTGATTTCAAATTAATTCATTATCAAAGGACTTTCAGTTCATGCATTTTATGATCTTTGCAAGGTTGAGAAGGGTGGAGGCCAGTCTCAAAGTCTGCATTTAAAACCAGCTACTGGCTTTCTCTAAAGATTGGGGAATATCACAACCTCTCACAACCAAAGATTGTATATCTTAAATTACATATCCCAAATGATATTGAAGCAGGGTCTTTCCTGACCAGTCCTTCAGGACCCATGCAAATAACTGTCTTTACTTCTTAATTAAGGCAGAAATTCTTGCATCTTCACTTCTGAGCATCAGTTTTCTGATGAAGAGAGCAAATTCAGTTGTCTTACACTCTTGTCTCTGTAGTATCCATTCATTTTCTCCCTCGTGTTTTAAAAAATTGAATCTTTCCTCTGGTACTGTGTCTATCCTAAGGATGTGGTCTGTCTGTGCCTGTGCTGTGACCACCAATAATGAAATAATTGGAATTTCCCAGATGAGTAAACAGTGCCAGATAGGAACCTGCATTTTGTTACACTATGTCTCTTGGCAGACCCTTTAAAAAAAAAAATCTGTTAGCAAGCCAAATTGCATTAGTCACTATTAGATTATGTTCTAGGATGTTGTGCAGGAGAAGCAAAAGGAGAATTCTTGTTTCCATCCTACCGAATTTGAGGTGAGCCCTGTAAGACTGGGACTTCCAAAGTTCAGGTACACAGCACTGCTGTGGTGGTCAGGGGAAAGGAGAACTGTTACAGGAAGGGAATTCAGAACCCCCACATGTTTTGCTTAGCAAAACACAGACCTGTGTTGTTGCTCTTTAAAAGTACTTAAGAAGATAAATAGTCACAGAGACGTTTAAGCTGAAGGACAGTGCTGACCCAAAACCAACTGGACATAAATTACACTCGGTTGTAAATAACCTAAATAAATTTAGATTGTAAATCAGAGGATTGGAACCAACTTTGGAAGGATGTCCTTGGTCAGTGGGCTGAGAGAAAGTGGAGGGAGGAGGGATGGCAGATAAGCTGCCATCATTTTAAATGGGGCTCAATAAATTTTTCCAAAGATATTAAGGAGCATGGGTTGTCTGTAACAGAGAGCAGATGGTCTGAAGGTGTAGTGAAGTCCTTTCTAGTTGAGTATTTATTCCCTACTTTAAAGTCACCAATACCTCCTTGTACAGAATCCAAAAAACCTCTTCCCTGGTTCTTCTTGACCATTCTTTTATGACCTCTGAAGCCCTTTATTATCCCTGATAAATTACAAATAGGAAACATTAAACATAAAATCTTGGTCACGTTGCTTCTTTGGAATGATTATGTGTATTTTAATGTCCATACAGATGAATTTTCGTATAGCAGTTTTTTTCAGTCCTGAAAATATGTTTATTTCACTTCCCATTTGAATTTTAAAATCTTTTTTCCATTTTATAAAAAGCTAGACCTTCATTTTCAATTTTTAGTTCAAATAAAATAATTATCCTGTTGTTACTTTTTTGACAGCAAGAAGAATACATTTCAGATGAAGCACATATTTTATTCTATTTTAACTGTTTGTGTTTCCCTAATTGCAAGAAAAATTCAATGATGATCTTTTTACAGGCTGATAAATATTTTAGTGTAGATTTTCTGTTGGAAAAAAACAACCAAGTGAAAGGGTACAAGATTGGCAGGTTTGTGTCTTGTCTACACAAAGCTTTTATTTCCCTTAAAAAGTCTTGCTGTTGCTAGCATTAGTGTCTCTCCATCCAAATGCATTTGTTAAGCAGTCAGTAAATGATTAAGGAGCTGGAGGGACTGATTTATGGAACAAAATTAATTGAACTAAATATGCATCACTCCGTTACGTGACAACTGGGAAGTGTGGGAGAACATGATAGAGCTGTCTGAGACTACCAGGGGGTGTAAACTGTGAGCAGAGCAAAGCATTCCCAGCCAGGAACAGCTGGGGCTTTCTCCTGACCCAGACTGCCCATCACACTCCTCCTCAAGGGGCTCTTAGGGATCAAATGCCTGCGTGTCCCCCTGAAAACCCACACCAGGGGATGCTTCAAGGTTAATTAGCTGTGAAGCCTCCTCACACTGGTGTGTTCTGTATATACTGCAAAAGCTAATGGAGTGAAATATAAAATTAGGGAGTAGTAGGTGGAAATAGTGAGAATGGCGAGGTTCCTAATGGCAAGGTAGATTATTGTGAAGAATGGGAATCCAAAGGAAATTACAGGCAAAGGCTGCTTCCCGCAAATCCTCAGGACTAAATTGGTCCTCAGACTCAGGCAGCAGCACAGTGAAAGGATGGTGCTTCAGGAGGCATTCCTGAAATAGGTCCAATTGCTGTGCTTCTGTGAAGAGAACTACATGCAGGTAATTTAACAAAATAACACCTGGGCCCATTTCAGCCTCTCTGGGAGCAGCTGGACTGTGCTCCTGGGACTTGGCTCATGCTTACTCAGTGAGAGTGCCTTGATTTTTACCTGCTTGATTCTTGGCATTCATGGTGCCCTTTTCTTTTGAGTCTCTGAGCACTATTTCATTGTTTAAGCAGTAAGGGGAAGGAAAGCTGCTGCTCACTGGGTGCCACAGAACCATGCAGCACAGGGCAGGGCATTTTGCTGTGACCTGGCTGAATTTGTGGCACTGTGTTTCTTGCCGTTGCCATGGGTCGTGTTTGCTCGCTTGTCTTGGCTCATCTTATCTCTCTTGCTGAGAGATAATTGGGAGCAGCAGATTGAGGGTTAGTAGTTTAAAGGATTTCCCAGAAATTCCATCTCCTCTGACACTGGAAAAATGGTGTTGTGTATTCAGGATGTAATTAGCCCTGTGCACAGTGCCCTAGGTGGGAAATGGGCACTGTATAAGCCTGGGATGTGCCCTCCAGTGCAGGGCAGAATTTTCCTGTGCTGAAGACATCCCAGAATCACACAATATTTTGAGCTGGAAGGGACCCACAAGGATCATTGAGTCCATCCTGATAAGTATCCTGCTGGATACTTATGTACAGACAGCCACATAGCTTTTTCCCAAGTTCACCAGTCAGATGAAAGACAGAATTTTACCCCCTCTTGGCTCCTTTGTCTACCAGCTCTAACCATACTTTGCAAGTTTGAGTGCTGTCCAAAAGTATTTCTAAGTGGAACAAAAATAAACATGCTTTTAAATATTTGATGTTGATACTTTAAGGGAGATTGACACATTTTGAAGAGGAAAGCAGCCTACAACACCTAAATTAAAAATAAATATTTATGTTCACATTTGTTCATCAGCTTTCCAAAATGTAAAAATATGTTTCATGTTGTTTTAAATAATGAAATGTGAAACAAATGAAAGATAAACTTTCTACAAGCTGAAAAGAAGTAAGAAGACAAAGGCTTTGTTTATAGCTTAGATTTCAACAGTGCCCTTTGACAACCAATACAAATCTTAATTACAAATGGAATTATACATGTAAGAACTGCTCAAAACAAAGGAGTATTTTTTTTTTCTCTTTCTGGTTTTCTTTGTGATAGTTTTAATTAGCTGCAACTCTTTGAACACTCATAGTCCTTGACTGTTCCTCAGACACTGATGGAAGCTGTTAACTTCAAATGGCATCTGTAGGACTGCAGAAGTCTGCGTTTTCCTCTGAACAGTGTGCACCCCATTGCTAAATTTATTCTTCGATATATCAGGATTCTGCATACATTCCACTTAATTGAGAAGTGAGCACTGTCCAGTAGCATTCCAGTGATTGACATTAGGACACAATAAATTGGATTAATAGGCTGCAGCACCCTACCCACACTGGCAGAACTTTAAAGGACTTCTCTAGTAAAGTAGGCAGCAACAGGGCAAATGTTTTGAAAATCAGCCCAGCTGAATTATATGGAAAAACAATCATTAGAAATAATGGCCAGCCCATACATGGCATCTTCCACGTGTTAATCAGGAACCTGCCTTCGAAACAAATGGAGAGTGAAAAGGGAAAGTCAATTTGTGTCTTCCCAGCTTGACCTAATGTTTTTTTTTTTCCTCAATTCCCTGTGGCCAACCATTTAAAAGAAAGTCCCTACCAGATATGGAATTAGAGAATTCTCTTCCATCCTAATGGAACAGTCTGATCCATGGGGAGAAGCCCCAGTCCTGCATCAGGATCCAACTTTGCAGTGGGAAGAGAGGAGGGTGCCCTGAACCTGTGGGATCCATTAAGGGCAAGAGAATCCCCCTGACAGAGTGTCCTTGCCACAGTCTCCGAGACTGGGGGTTGAGGTGTCACAGCCAGATTTAGGTTTGTAATAAAAGCTGTCATTTCAATCTAGTCCTGAGGGGAAGAGAAAGTTTGTGCCTGGGATCTGTGACTCACTGTGCTTGGCAGCACTGCAGCCTTCATTCATCAGAGCCATGTGCTGCCCCTGCCTGCACGTCCTCCCATGGGGCTGGAGACAGGGGCTGTTTGGAACACAAGGGCATCTGCTGACTTCACAGGTTCAGGACATAAAGCCTGATATGTTTTAGAGCTGGGAGGGAGGGGTGGAATATTTTTGATGCCTTCCCCCACTGTGGAAAGTGTGTTAGTGTGGAATGGTGGGGAAATGCCTCAGAGAAACGTTGTGCAGAACTGCAATCTGAGCTAGTGGTTTTTTTAAAATTCAGCTTGTTTCAATAAGGAAAAACGAAAAATCACTCATTATTGGTCATTATTACAAATGGATTAGAACTGCTCCATTTTACTTTTAAGTTTTTATTAAACATAAGCTGTGCCACAGAAATTAAGTGAAGTGACATGGAATACAGAGCCTAATCACTGGAGCATGACCTGATCTTTCAGAGATATTGATCAAAGACTCATAGAATGGTTTGGGTTAAAAAGGACCTTAAACAGCATCCAGCTCATTTCCTGCCTTTGAAATCTAAAAAATAATAAAAAAAAAATTAGAATTTTATAGCTATTTATTAATTTTTTTAAAACTATCAGTTAGACTATCAGATGTTTGTTAACTGCTGGATATATTGCAGTGGCTTATATCCAGGGTTTAGCAACCCTAGCAGTATAGGAAACACAGAGAGAAAAGGAGACAGTCTTTTTCAGAATTGATTTGTATGCACTTGGTTCCTCAAGGTCTTCACAAGAGAAATATACAGTAAAGCAACAGAGAGTATTTGTGATAAATTGGATAAATGTACATATGTGCACTAAAAAGAAAACATTCAGAATTTCCTTCTGAATAGAGTAAAACTGTTGAAGTAATAACACATACTCCTTTTGTTACTCTTATTAATATCTTTGGATTTTTTTCAAATTAGTAGAAAAATTATTCTGTTTTAAAAAATAAATATCTGTGTCTGTAAAAATATATACTGGAAATGATCCTCATCTCATTTAAAGTAGTACAGCTTGCTTTCTTTAACTAGATGATGGCTGATTTTTACCACTTAGGTATGTTTATTTTTAAGATCCTTATTTTTAAAACCTGTTGAAGAGATACGACCCTGCCCCTTAACATCAACGGGACCAGGCTTTTGCATGCTATGATCTCTGTAAGATTTTTAAGTTTTTGCCACTGTAAATGTCTTGTGTTTTCCTTCCCGTTAAAGCAAAGAACCGTGGGATTGCAATTCCAGTGGATTTGGACAGCCAGGTGAACACGTTATTCATGAAGAGTCACTCCAACATGGTGCAGAGGGCAGCCATGGGGTGGAGGATGTCAGCCCGCAGTGGACCTCGCTTCAAAGAAGCTCTTGGTGGGCCTGCCTGGGATTACAGGAATATCATAGAGAAACTACAGGTACAGAAATACCTGTAGAAATACAGCACTTGGCTTGGGCAGCAGTGGGACTGCAGTTATCTCACACGTGCCAGGTGTGGAAAACACCAGAGACAACCTGTTCCTGAGAGTGTTGTCCAAACACTCCTGGAGCTCTGGCAGCCTTGGGGCTGTGACCATTCCCTGGTGTCTGTTCAGTGCCCCAGCACCCTCTGGGGGGAAGAACCTTTCCCTGATACCCACCCTAACTCTGCCCTGACACAGGTCCAGCCATTCCCTGGGTCCTGTCCCTGATCACACAGAGCAGAGATCAGAGCCTCTCCCTGATCCTCCCCTTGTGAGGAAGCTGCAGAACTGCTGTGAGCTCTGACCTCACTCTGCTCTTCTCCAGATGATCAGACTAAGTGCCTTCAGCTGCTCCTTGTGTGGCCTCATCTGCAGGCCCTTCACCATCTCCATGTCCCTCCTTTGGACACTTGTATTGTGATGCCCAAAACTGCACTCAATATTCAAGTTGTGTTCTCCTCAAAGTGCTCCACAGAGCAGCATCTCCTTTCTGCCTTTTTCACAGAATCACAGAATAATTTTTATGGCCACATGTCCTGTTCTAGCTGCAGAGGAGATACAGAGGAGGTTTTAGGTCATGTTTGTGTCACTGGAGATTGCCATGAGATGGAGATCACCTTGTGCATGTAGAGCCTAAACAGCACCAGGGTTTTATGACCCGAGTGAACAGCAGGACCCAGGCAAATGCAGGAGCCCTAAACACCAAGGACACAACACCTGAGGCGACACATTAACTGTGTGTGATGAGCATTGTTTTTCCAGCACACCACCATTCTGACTGTTGCTACAGGTTTTGTGAGCACTACTGCAGAGGAGAAATTTGAAAGAGAGTAACAATGGGCACCTTCTCCCCCTTGCCCTGTGTGAAGAGTGTCATGAAGAAAGGCTTTACAGCCACCTGGGTTGCCCAGGGCTCTTGCAGGGCTCATCACACTGGGTCGAGCAGTGCATCACACCGAGCTGTGAGACTCCACCGTGCTGTTTTTGTAGTTCTCTTGCACTTAGGGATGTTCTCCTGTCTTCCCCAGGACGTGGTGTCCTCCTTGGAGCAGCAGTTCACGCCCATGATGCAAGCTGAATTCTCAGTGCTGGTTGATGTGCTGCACAGCCCAGAGCTCCTGTTCCCTGAGGGCAGCGATGCCAGAATAAGATGTGGTGCTTTCATGTCCAAGTAAGTGGTATGCAGAAGGGCCTCTTGTTCTGGTTTGAAAGACAGGCATTTGTTAAGAAAGGCAGGAGCCTCTCTTGAAATGAAAAATGTAAACCCTTTCTCTCTAAATTGTTATAACTTTGAAAATAAGGAGCTCTCAGGCAAAGATAGGGGAATAGGAATAACAGTTCTTTACTAGGAAAAATATTAAAATAAAAATACAGTAATTAAAAAAAACCCAAAGCAACAAAACAACAAAACCCGAAACACTGAGAGTGAGAATACAACCTGACACCCCATCAGTCAGTCAGGGTGTTGGCAGCAGTCCCATTAAATGGTGGCTGCATCCCCCTGCAGTGACAGGTGTGGTTCTGTTGGAGCAGTGCTCCTGTAGAAGGGTGCAGTTTTCCTCCAAAGGTCCAGTGATGATGTGGAAAGGTCTGATTTTAATCTGGAATCCAGTGGAAAAAGGCTGCTTTGATGTTCCAAATCTCAGATTTTATCTAGGTAGGAAGTGTTTGGCTCCTCCCCCTGGGTGGAGCATCTCCCAATGGGATGATGGAATTTTATCAGTCATGCACTGGGACTCAATGGCCCATTAACAGGAGATCTCTCCTGGGGATAAAGATCACTGCCCCACCTGGTTTCAGCAGATGGTGATAGAACACACACTTTTGTTTACATCCTGCTTTGCAACCCAAGGCACCTGTTTGATTCTTTAGGAAAGATGGTAGGGTTTTAGCATTTTCAACAGTACCTACCTCTGGTTTTCAGCAGAGATTTAAGCATGCAAGTGTCCAAGTTCACTGTTGAAAGCTTAAAGTGAGGTCTTTTACTCCATATTTTATACTTCTCAGTGTTTTTTTGTCTGGAGAGCACAGAGTGAGTGAGGTTGCTTGCCTTACCTGTTAGAAATGAGATGTTAGTGGTTTGTTAAAATTGTGGCAGGCTCAACCTACTTCTGTTTTCTCAATGGGCTACTTTTGCTATTACATTTCATGAATTCTACAACAGAAACTTAGATTTTCCATAGCAGAATTTTCAAGAATTCATAATGAAGCAGTGGGCTGCTCAAGGCTTGTGGGTTTTTTGTTGGATTTTTTTTTGGTACAGCAAATCGATATTTTTATTTTAAACTGTCAACAGCTCTTTGAAAATACATTTCACTGGGACCCCTATCTGGTCTTGAATTATTAGATGTTTTATTTGCAGTCTGTGCCTTGGAACAGAGTCTTGCAAATTTTTTATTAGTCCTCAAGTGAGATGCCCTCCCCGCCCTTGAGAAACTATAATTTAAACAGAGATAACTTGGGGGAAATGAATGCATTTGGCAGCTCTCTTGATTCCTTGGTTATTTGCATATTCTGCAGAGGTAGCATTATAACAATATACTTTATATGTTTGGAAAAATTTTTTAAAGAAAATTATATTTTGAGATTATTCCATCCCATGTCCTCTATCCAAACTCTTGTTTGAAGCCAGCATCAAAATGCAGAAAAAAAACAAACCCCAAACCTGTCCAAGGCCTTCAGATTTCCTCCCTTTCTATTTTCACAAACATTTCTCCAGCAATGTGTGAACCAGTGCAAGGACCTGTGCACAGATCTGTTCTGCACAAAGACAGAAAGGCTGCTTCTGGTATTGGCTTCAGCTGACTGAAATCCAAACTCCTGTCACAGTCATAGCTGGAGACAGAAATGGACCTTGTTTTCTGGCTTGTCAAGTGGCTGTGTAAATGTAAACAGCAATTATGTTTCATCCAAATGTCTGTATTTCTGAATACTTCCATGTAAGGTTTTTTGGAAATCCTTTTGGCTGAATACCATTTGCTAATTATGTCATAAATATATTATAACCATCATAGAAGTTGGAAGGTGTAAAGGTTGTAATTTGCAAGATGCATGATGAACACTGGTTACCTTTAAATAATGTTAAAAGAAGTTACCTTTAAATAAATAAAGGATTAAATAGCAAGTCTGTATCTCACAAAAAGTGGATGTAGAATTCTGCCTTCTGTATGGGCAGTAATTGACACAAAAATCTCCCAACACCTTGAAAGTCCCATATCCTTTTAAATTATGATTTCTCTTGATCACTTTTATTTCCTTTCCTTGAGGAAAAATATAGTGATGGGCAATTTTTACCTAAAGAAATTGTAGTATGGCTTAGCAACAATGTACAATGCTCTAAGTTTTAATATTTTACTTTCAGGTTGATTAATCACACAAAGAAGCTAATGGAGAAAGAAGAAAAGCTCTGCATTAAAATCCTTCAAACTTTACGAGAAATGCTTGACAAGAAAACCAACTTTGCAGAAGAGGTACTGCTACCACTTTACTATTAAATATAGAACTAAGAGCACGGTGTTAATAACAGAATCTGACAAGATTTCAATTTTGTGCATGTTTTAGAGATAACCTGGTGTCTTAGGAACAGTGTGGTAAGGTTGGAAGTTGGTTTGGCACAAAAGAAACTCTCTGCCTTACATAGTTTTGTGTGAGGGACTTGATAAGAATCAAGGCAAGCAAGGTGAAATGAATTAGCAGTAGCAAATATTACTATGTATAATTATTATATATATATATATATATAGGATATTCTCTATTTCTGGAGATTAGTCTTCATTTGTCACACCTGACTTTACCATAAAATCAATGGAAATATAGGGATTTTTAATTGCAATTGTACAGTTTTTCCCTCCTGCCTGTGGTGACAGACTTTTGTACTCCACGCGCTTTTTAATGCTCGCAAATGTGTGAAAGGAAATCTGCAATGTTTAAGCAGAGCTGCCAGTTTTGGGAAGAAGTGACATAGTCTGTACTCTGTAAGTGTCTAATTATTTCTTGCATTCCTCTCTCCCCTCATTGCCCAGTTTTCTCTTGCAAAACCAAGTCTTTCAAATGCCTCTTTCATTTTGCCTGTTCCTTTGGCTATCAGTAGGCAGGTTCAGATGTAGATGTCAGCTGTCCCTGTTCTTTCTGAGCCTGATCCCAGTCTTTTGTGTAGTTTCCTCTTATCCATATTTCTGGGTATTCCCCAAATCCTTTCAGCATTATTCACTCTTAAATATGAATCATGGAGCTATCATCTGATCTCTCAGTGCTGACATCAGACCTGCTTTGTGCAAAAATAACCAGTTTAAGCAGAGGAAACCAACCCCATCTTCACCTCCTCCTTAAAGAAAACTGTGGTTAGGCCTGGGCAGACAAATTCTTTTTTAATGCCATAAAAAGAATTTCACAGGGGAAGCAGATATTTTTTATTATTGTTCATATTTATTCTAATAGCATTCTGGGTGCATAATACCACAGGGAAAAATAATTTGCTTTTGTAAGTGACCTCTGCCAAACCTCTCCAAAAAAATAGACCCACCATAAGTCAACCTCATCTCAGGACTACAGGGGAGGAAAAAAGGCAACACTTTTAATGTAGGACTTGAAACAAACAAGATTTGCTTGTTTTAGTTGCTCCTTGTACCCTGTTGTGGATGCTGATAAAGGGAGACAGAGTTAAGGAAGGGAATTCCCATCAGAGGGAGTGTGTTCCATGGGTCTGTAAGGGCTCTGCTTTTCAGGAGTGGGTAAAGGAGGTGTATTCTCAAATCCCTCATGTGACCTCCACCATCTTGAGGGTGCATGGTGGGTGGAGAAGCTCTTTCTAAACAGAATTTCCTCTGGAGTGGCATTGGTTTTACACTGAGGAATGTGATGAATCAGTGCAAACAAATATGTGAATAAACAAGCTCGGATATGCTTTGCAAGAGCTTCTCTGGCTCACTACTCTTATGAGTCATTGTTCAATGCCATGGACTTCAGAACAGTAAAAATAGCACAATGAATAACCTCTTGTGCGTGTTTCCCATCTCTTTTTTTGAGCTGTGATCTCACTGCCTGCAAAGTTATTCAATTATGGTATGCAGATATTAAAAAAAAAATAAAAATAGTAGTAGATACATAATGGTCATAACCAGAACAAAGCTACAGAAGGACGTGGGACATTTTGACAAGAAGCCTGAGTTTGCTAATCAGTAATCAAACTGTATTTTCTGTGATAAATCTGACAGAAAGAGTAAACCTCCAGTTTCTTCAGGCTTTCCCACAGTGAGAAAGGTTGAAATAGTGAAATAAAATCTCTTCCTCTCTTTCACCACTGAGCACCTTCTACTTCTTTATCCTTCATTTGACCACTGGAAGGAAGGCTATGTCATTTGCTGAAGGAACAAGAGGCAAAATAGGAGTAGGGGCTTATTTCACTGATTTTTATACCTATTCCTGCCTCCACTATGTCAAGTCTATTGCTGCACCTCCCCTTGGTGTTGAGTTTCAGGTCTCTGGTGCTCTCCTGGCTCCACATCCTTGGATTTCCTTCCAGTCAGCCTCTGAGGCAGCACTGACTTGTGCCTTGTGTTGCTTAGCACCACAGCATCTAATCGTGCTGGGAATCAAAGTTTAATTTCAGAAGTTTGATTTAAGGTATATAAACGACATATAAAACCTCCTGGCCATTGATTGGCTTTCCTAAGTAATTGTGGGTGATTATTGCAATCTCCTGGGAGTTCTGCATTGAGTCCTAGCCCTGTTTGTATTGATTAGGTCACTAACTGGGGTGAAGCCTGATCTGCAGCCTCTCTCTTCCAGAACAGCATTAAAACATTTGGGGAAAGCAGTGTGTGGAGGGAGCTCACATTGCCTCTGTTCAGAGAGCTACTGTAGTATCTAAATGTATTTATCTGAAGCTTGGTTCAGACTAACTATTTGAGAGAAAAAGCAGGAGAGACAGAAAGGACTGTGCTTGGACTAGATCTGCCCCATCTGTATTTGGGTTTAGAATCACTGGCTGTTTTTATACCCATTTTGCAAAACCAGAAGGATCTTGGACTGGGATTTTTTTATTTATTTAGGCATACCTTTTTGTGTTTCACCATAGTGCTTGATATCAATTTAATTTCTGTGTGAATGTTGCCTCTAGACCTGTTAATACACCTCAGTTTGAATCTGAGTAACATTTCCAAAAGCACCTGAGACATGGAGACCAATTTTGCTCACTTTGCACAATTGGAGCAGTTTAGAATCTTAGCATTACCTTGCTGCCCTGCTTAAAATGTCTGTCCATACAACAGAGCTGGTGGGCCAGGAAGGGTGGTCCAACAGCTTCAAAGAGTTTTCAGAAGCTTAAATTAAACTCTCCTCAGTGAATTGAATGGATTTGTTGAATTCTTGACCTACTGGTGCTCATCTGGTGACTTGGCTGCTGGCATGGCAATGATTTGGGTATGGACAACCCTCTGATTTCCCAACTGTTCATAAATCAGGTCAGCACCTCTGGGGAGAAAATTATCCTCTCTGCTACCATGTATATATTACATCTGATCAGATGTGCTGATGGTTGATGGGCATTACAGAACATGGCAGAATCCAGGCCTGTGTGCCTCTCCCTAAGGCAGCTCCACTCTGTAAATGAATGGAACCCTGCAGGAAGGGGTGCCTCTGCTGCAGAGCACACACTTTATACTTTTTCTTCCTCTTTTAGGTGTTGAACTTCAGTATAAATAATTAAAAACTGCATTTTTAAGTGTCAGTAGAACAAAGACTCTGTAAGCCGCTTAATTGTCAAAAATAAGTAGTTGCACTTTTTTGCCTTTTTTGGAAAACTCATGAAAAATGCTGGTTTTCTCTTAGACATTTGCACTAGTTCATGATTTTAAATCATGGAAGGAGCTTTGTGGCCTTTTGTTTTGCAGGGTTAATGTTTCTGCATTCAGCTTTAGATATGAAATGTAAGCTGTCCTCCCCTTTGTTTGCAGGAACACCACCAAATACACACGTGTAAAAAACCAGTACAGCTTTGGTGGAAATACAAATGTATTTTATTCCTGTAAGGTGTGATCTCAGATATGGCCACTGCTGCCTCTTGGTCATTTTGTGCCAGAAGAACTGAATCTTTTCATGTGGAGCTGCTGACAAAACTCCAGTGCATTTGTCAAAAGCAATAGTGCCAGTTTATTATTGTATTATTGTATTGATCTACCAGTCAGGCTGAAGCCAGTGGGAGCTGCAGGTCTTTTTCTGCTGGGGTACACGGCCTCAATGGGTTTTAGAAGCCAGGAGATTTTGTTGGGAGCCACTACAGTGTCCCAGCATTGCAGCTCGTTGAATCACAGACATTCTCAACTTAAACTGCATTCTATTCTATAGCCTCATCTTTTCAAGATGATTTGACTTATTTGCATGTGCAAATTAGGCAGCATTCAGATAAACAGCATTTGTAGGTTAAAAAAAAAAAAAAGAGGAGGAAAAAGAGAAAAATTCTGAAAATGTGTTGCTTGCTGAATGTATCATACCTCAAAAGAACGGTTATTTTAAATGGGAGAGTGGGATCCAAATTCCTTTATTTGTGTTACTACTCACATTTTGTGTTAGCAGCACTGCAGGCATTTTGAAGAATTACATTTAATTTTTCCCTCTTTCTGCTGTCAGTTTTATTTGTACTGTTGTATAAAAATACCTGTGCACTGGCCTGTTTTTCCTGCTGTCAACAGGCCATTCTCCTCACTAAGCTCAGTGTGCCTGTGAGGTGATAGGGGGTCAGAAGCACCAAAGGATAACATGTACACTCAGTGCTGTTTGTACTGAATTTTTTTTTTAAAATCACTTACCTATTTTAGCTGATAAAGGACACTTTTGCAGGATCTTGCATTAAAAACTCACTCCTTAGGAAACCAGTTCACAGGGAGGGACTGGAGGTGCAGGGAGGAAGAATGTTTGGTTATCTCCAGCAGTGTCAGCCTGGTTGTGAGCAGCACTTCTGGTCAAAAAACTGCTGCTGTGGCTTTGTCATGGGAGTTAAATGATGAGTGAAAACTCAGACAGAAGTGGGACAAACCCCTCGGTCTTGGAGATGCTTGGTGTGAAGGTGGTGATCAGCTGCAGAACCAAAGCCTCCAGGAATTCGTTGCAGCAGAGGATTCAAGCTTTGCTATTGCCCTGAATCCTCTCAGCCAGTAGTTGCAGTGGCAGGAGCACCAGAGCTTTCAGATATGCAAGACTAAACACTGGATGTGGTCAGAACCTTAAAGTGTGGTAATTTCTCATTAGACCCACGCACTGACATTTTACAAATGAGAGAAAACCTACAGAAAAACAAATGAGCAGAGTTTCACTTTCCTCCCTCTAGGCTTCAAGCTGGGATAATTAAGCAAAGGGATACCAGGAGGCATGTGATGGTGTTGTTTGTTCTAGCCAGGTGTTGTCAGCCACAGCACTCAGAGCCTCGGGCCATCAGCCACTGTTGTGTTGTTATTGCTGCACATTTCTGGGGCTG